CCTTAATGTCTCTCCGGTTGCATGTCCGTCGCATTCAGTGCTGCAGCACTTTGATTTTCCTAACGGTAGAGAGCTCAGCAAATTAAATCACATAATGAGTGATTATTTTATTATTCTAAGGGTTAAGAGAAATTTCGCACAATTCTCTCACCCATTATGTGTTTTATAGTGCTCTTCTTCTCTCCCCCATTAGGAAAAATAATGACTTTATCTCTCAACTTTATATTAAGATAATATATAATAGTTCTCTCAATCATTATGTGTGATATGATGCTCTTCTCTCACCCATTAGGAAACAGAATGACATCTCTCTCAACCATTTAAATAATATAAAAAAGGTCCCTCAGTCATTATGTGTAATATGGTGTTTTTCTCTCACCCATTAGGAAAAATAATGAAATTTCTCTCCACCCTTAAGAATATATGATAGTAACTTTGTCTCACTCATTATGTGATTTATACTGCTTTGCTCTCACCCATCAGAAAAAAAAAATAAAAAATTCTCTCCACCCTTAAGAATATAATGATAGTTGTCGATTTATACTGCTTTGCTTTCACCCATTAGCAAACATAATGACTTCTCTCCCAACCCTTAGGATAATACATAATAGTTCTCTCACTCATTACTTTATTTATATTGCTTTTCTCTCACCCATTTGGAAAATATGATGACTTCTTCATCAACCCTTCGGATATATTATAATTCTCTTACTGATTGTGTGTTTTATAGTGCTTTGCTTTCACCCATTATCAAAAATAATTACTTATCTCTCAACCCTTAGGATAATATATAATATGATAGTTCTCTCACTCATTGTGTGTTATATGGTGCTTTTCTCTCACCCATTAGGAGAAAATAATGACTTCTCTCTCAACATTTAAGGTAATTTATGATAGTTTTCTCACTCAATGGGTAAATGGTCATTTTCTCTCGCCCATTAGGAAAAATAATGACTTCTCTCTCAACCCGTAGGATGATATATCATAGTTCTCTTACTCATTATGTGTTATATGGTGCATCCTCTCGCCCATTAGGACCAAATAATGTCTATTTTCTCAACCCTTTGGATAATATATAAATGTTTTCTCAATCTATTTGGTTTATATTGCTTTTCTCCCACCCGTAAGATGATATATGATAGTACTCTCACTCATTGTGTGTTATATGGTGCTTTTCTCTCACCCATTAGGAGAAATAATGACCTCTCTCAACCCTTGGCTTAGGATAATATAAATTATAGTTACGGTAGTTCTCTCGCTCATTATGTGTTATATGGTGCTTTTCCCTCCCATTGTCTCACTAAATCCTTTGGATAATATGATCTTTTATGTAGTATGAACAACACAAAAAATTATAGAGGCGGGAAAATTATATTTAATTGATGCCCATGTGTAAATTGTCGTTTGTTTCCGTGGCGTTGGTTATCGTCTGCTATTGCACTGTATCGGATGGTTCCGTAACGTACGCTTATTAGCGTAAAATCACGGATATATACGTCTGTATCTCATGCAATTTTGTGAAATGTTTTCGTTTGTCCAGTCGTTTTGTGCGTTGTATGAAAAGGGTTTGAGAGAAAGTTAACATTTCATTTCTTCCACATTCCCGCAAACTATCCTTCTCCAGATCATCAAGTCTTTATTCTCTCACGAGTATAGATACATACTATTCTAGTTGAATAATTTGTTTTATTATCACTTATTACTAAGGTTTTTTCATCATTATTTGAGACACTCATATATATATCTCAATTAAATTTATCGGACCTACGCCAGGAGTTGTAGTTATTTTTCTACCATGTGCCATATCTTAAACTCTTGGTCAACACATCTTAACTTCAGCACTATGGAATGGACAAGTATGTCACATCTATCTTTTTTGTAATAATTATTATTTGTTATACTATAATCTTCACATGTATTATCGAGTAATAATCTGTAATAATAGTACACATGGTATTTTTCAGCAAATCGTTATGTTCAAGATTTTTTTTTTATTTTTATCTTTAAGAAAAAAAATATTACAGGCAATCCTTGACTTATACAATCAAAGCGCTGAAAGCACTGCTGGGGGCGCATTATGTTGATTGTATAGTGGTCTATTGTTACAAGCAGATGCCACTCCTACTTTCAAAGCAGAAAACACATTTTTACTCGATTATTCGATTAGAATAAGTAGAATTATCCTAGTCATCTGAACGTCGGCGTCTATCACCTCAATTTTTCCCGAAGTCCATTGACATATGGCATTAAAACTTTGCACACTTGATCCAGATCAGGCACCCATATGTTAAAGATTGCCTATGGCTTCAAAATATTTTCGTATTCCATAGACATCTGGCTTTGAAATAAATTGAAATTTTATACATTTCTTTGCGAGCATACTAGCTAGGACTCTCTCCAATGCTTATATCTGTAGAATGGGTTTTAAAGAAAATTTTGGTCCTTTTGTGAACTTGAATATTTTAAATAACCAAGGTTCTTCTATTGTCAAGCACTAAGCTAATAGTTGAGTGTGCTGTCCTACCAACAGCTATTGTTCGCATACCTTGTGAAATATAACTCCATCAAACTTTTGTTCAGTTATTATTATACTAACGCAAGAACTGTCTGAGGACAGTAAGGCTCGACTATTCGAAAAAAAGTTGTCACAAGGGTGTTTATATTATACTAACACAAGAACTGTCCGAGGACAGTAAGGCTCGACTATTCGAAAAAAAGTTGTCACAAGGGTGTTAATTGAGTATAAAAATGCCTTACCTATGAATACATAAAACTGACCGAAAAGGTACAAAGGCTTGGATTAAGATGTTTTATCAAGTAAATCACTGCTTTATTATCATGAATGCATAAAATTCTCCCAAAAAAAGGCACAAACCCTTCAGTAGTTATGGAGATAACATGCTTACAAGCAAAACTTTACCATTAATCTCTTAGTTGAAAAAGGGGAGAAAAATCAGCTTAAATGCTAGATAAAATTATGGAATCTTGGTCAGTAACCTACATGAACAATTTATGACCCTAAATGCATGTGAAGTTTTAATATTGTAGGCAGAGTTTATTCAACTTGTCAATCTGATGTACATTGTTACTATAAATAACTATTTTAAGTTTCAATTGAATATCTCGAGCAATAATCGAGATATTTGACTTTATAATAAACTTTAACCAACGCAGACGCGGACGCTGGGTTACTACAATAGCTCTCATATTTTTCAAATAATCGAGCTAAAAACCACGAAGTCATGGTTGAGACAATATAGTTATTCCATATATAAATATATATATCATGGAAAACATTTCAAGATAATACAATGGATTGTAGTGTATAACACGAAAATCAGTGTACTTTAACTGTATTTATTCAATAATCATACAAGCATCTTGTAAATAACTGGAACAACATATTTCTTAAATACAAGAGCGATCAGAAATCACATGTGTCGCCTCATGATGGACAATTTCATGTTGGGCCAAATTTTGTGACAGACGGACAGTGCACAACTAGACTTGGTACTGATCATTCCTGTTTGTTTGTTTGTTTGTTTCGTTTTACGCCTTTTCCCAACAGTATTTCAGTCATATAAAGTTTGGATAAAATTGCACCAGTAGTTAATGAGGAGTAGTCTGGACAAACTTTTGCGTATCTGGCAACACACAGAAAAAAAACACCTTTTTATCAAGGGCCATAACTCAGCCAAAAATCATTCAACCAGAAAACCCGTGCAATATGCGCAAGGACTTGAGCTATAGATCAATCCTGTAAAGTTTCATTGAAATTGCATTAGTTGTTTAAGAGAAGTAGTCCAGACAAACTTTAAAAATAAAAATCATTAAAGGGCCATATCTCTGACAAAAATCATTGAACCGGAAAATGCTGACAATATGCACAACTAGACTTGGTACTGATCATTCCTGTAAAGTTTGGATGAAATTGCACCAGTAGTTTATGAGGAGTAGTCCGGACAATTTTTGTGACGGACGGTTGGACAGACGACGGAGAAGTGATCCCTATATGTTGCCTCTACTCCACTACTCCGTAGAGGCGACACAAAAACCATACAAAAAAAACACAAAAAAACTGATGATGACAGAACTGGGTATCACTTTATGCCTATATAATTTTTTTGCTCGAGTGATTTTTTTTCCAAAGAGCTACATGTGAAATTGCTGCCAAATATACATAGGTAAAAACTTTTTCAAAGCTGCATGCATTCATATAAATATATTTTAAAAAATTCAAACTTGATCGAATAAAAAAAAAATTCAAGGATAGCCCAAACTTGTTAATTATAAAAAAATATATATACAGAATATTATGTTGTAGTAGCTCTCTGGGTCTTTGTATTTTGCTACGAGCAGCGTTGGGAAATTGATATCTTGCGAGACCAAAGGGCGAGCTAGATATCAATTTTCCAAACATTGCAAGTAGAAAAATGCATAGCCTCAGAAAGCTACTACAACATAATTTTCCTTTTATAATATACCTTTTCGTTTGAAGTATAAATGATTTTTCATTATACTACACTTATATAAGAAATTTCAGAAAAAGAAATGTAGCTGTCAAGAAATAAATTATGACTGACAGATGAATACCTAATTTTGTGCAAAACCAGCCACACCTTTTATTATTTTGGTTGCCGTTTCCATATACTACGTTATACACAGCTAAGATCAGAACCAACGTCAAAAATAGTCCAGTCCTTTCATATATGGTACTGTATTTGTCTCTAACATAATACAGATTTTCTAACCGTTGAAGCCTATTTGCGCTTCAAGATTATCCTGTGTTTTAGGAAGAAAATTTATAGGTATATAATAAAATGCTGTCATTGACATTTCTTTATGTTTATATTTATTATATGTATTTCTTGTAATCCTATTTATAGCTACAAATTCTATGAATTAAAATAGAAAATGAAGATAGCATGCAGACGGTGTTGATATTGTGTGATAAAAATCTATAGATCATTGGAAATCATCTGAGTAACCGAATACTCGATCTGAAAAATGACCGAGTACTCAAGTATTGATTTTAGTATTTGTTGCCATCCCTAAAAAAATGAAGTACTTGACAAGATCAACTAACATCTAAATAAAAAACTTTGAAAACAGAATTAATTATTTTGAAAAATTCACTCTGAGCTGTATTATTTAAAATGGGTGTTCAAACACATTGAAAACATTGATAAGTCATCTCATGTTCTTGGTGATGAAGTGGTGCCTCAATATAGTTATCACTGCAATCTATCTTCCCTCATAACTCCTACTATTACTGTATCTGTCAAACAAGCATCTCTGTTTTCTGAAATAGAGTTTTGAAAAAGTTTATTGCTGACTAAGATATTCCATACTTGTATGTTAACTTTTTTTTCAAGCATTTTTCTGTTAGAATTACTCTGATTTATAAAGGTATAAAACCAAACTAGAAATGTGTCATCATGCCACGGATCCCCCGCATGCAGCCAAAATTTCAGGTGCATTAATTATTTTTTTCATTTTAAGTTCAAAGCCCTTAAAACTTTTCAATGTTAACACAAACCATTTTCATACAACGTTCAACGCACTGAAATGATTCAGTCTTAACCTTTTAAAAATAGCATATTGCATATTTGTAGCCAAAATAATGGCTAAAAGTATGAGAGCTGAAACTGAACGTTCAAAATTTTTCCAACATTCAGGAAAGATAAGTTTGTCTAAAATCATTGAACCTCGACCAAAATTCAAACTTAAACTGCTTATTCCTAAGATGTATCTATATTATTTTCAAAGTGAAAGGGACATAACTCTGCCAAAAAATCATCAAAACCATGACCAAATTCCAACTTGACCTGCCCATTCCTTTGACATATCCATATGTAAAATTTAAGTTGAATATGTAACACTGTTGGGTAGATAATGAACAGAAACTGTAAATTTCATATTATTTTCAAAGTGAAAGGGGCATTTCTCTGCCAAAAATCATTGAACCATGACCAAATTCGAACTTGGCCTGGGCATTCCAAAAACATATCCATATGTCAAATTTGAATGGAATGTATTGTACCATTTGGGAGATAATAAACAGAAACTGAAAATTTCATATTACTTTCAAAGTAAAAGGGGCATAACTCTGCCAAAAAATCATTGAACCATGACCAAATTCAAACTTGACCTGTATTTTTTTTCATGACATATCCATATGAATATGTTGTACCTTAGGGGAGATAATGAACGGAAACTGAAAATTTCATATTATTTTCGAAGTAAAAGGGGCATAACTCTGCCAAAAATCATTGCACTGTGACCAAATTCGAACTTGACCAGTATTTTCTCATGACATATCCATATGTCAAGTTTGAGTTAAATGTGTTGTACCGTTGGGGAGATAATGAACGGAAACTGAAAATTTCATATTATTTTCAAAGTAAAAGGGGCATAACTCTGCCAAAAATCATCGAACCATGACCAAATTCGAACTTGACCTGTATTTTCTCATGACATATCCATATGTCAAGTTTGAGTTGAATAAGTTGTACCATTGGGGAGATAATGAACGGAAACTGAAATTTCATATTATTTTCAAAGTAAAAGGGGCATAACTCTGCAAAAATCATCGAACCAATGACCAAATTCGAACTTGACCTGTATTTTCTCATGACATATCCATATGTCAAATTTGAGTTGAATGTGTGCAACCGTTCTTAAGATAATGAACGGAAACTGATGATGACGGAATGACAGAATGATGGAAGGATGGAAGGACAGAATGACGGAAACAGGGTAACACTATATGTCCCCGGCCATTACATGGCGGGGGCATAAAAATGCGCGACCAATGCAGAGCTCAACCCCTCTGTGCATTATTTCACAAACGAGCATCTGAGTTAGAACCACCGCCTTTTTTTAAAGCTAGCTGGATTTGCTTTCCTCACATTAAAGAATCCATATTAAATATAATAGAACATTGATAATTGCTACACAGTCTCTTTGTAAAAATAAAATAAGCATGTTTTGTGTTTTAATAAAAGTAGCAATGTAATGTTAAAACACCACACGCTATAGGTGGTCACAATATAAATATATAGTGTTGTTAGGAAACTGACAGTCTTTTTAAAAAAGGACTCGTAAGAACAGGAACATGGCTTCCAATGCATAGTTAATTCATTATTTTCATTCAAATTAGACATATTCAAAAAGAATTGCATAGAATTCAATAAATTTTCATGATTAAAATATTTTACTGATGAGCCATAGTATATCTTTAAAGGTAAGTGGTTTAGGTACATTACTTTGACTATGGACACCCCAATTAAATCTATTTATTTGCTTAGTAACACAACTTTTCAAAGTTATATAAATTTGTAAATGTGAGTGATTCTGATAATCTATATACAGCTAAGTCAAGATGAGATGATTAGATTTTACTGACTGCTTTACTACATGAAGTCACTATTTCAATGTCAAATGCCTTGAGGTGAAAGGAATGAAAACTTGAATTTCAAAATACAATTTAAGTGAATTACATGTCACAAAATTGAAGCCGTGTCATGACAAAACCAACATAATGGGTTTGCGACCAGCATGGATCCAGACCAGCTTGCGCATCCGCGCAGTCTGATCAGGATCCATGCTGTTCACTTACAAACCCTATTACAAGTAGAGAAACTGATAGCGAACAGTATGGAATCCTGATCAGACTGCGCGGATGCTCAGGCTGGTCTGGATCCATGCTAGTCGCAAAACCATTATGTTGGTTTTGTCATGACACGGCTAAAATGTTTTTGCTATCGACTTTTGTTCCTAAATTAACAACAGATTGCATGATGAAATGATATTGAAATAATTATTATAACATTTGGCTCTAAGTGCCAAGCTTACTGATTTTAAATAAGCCTTGAGTCCTGTGTTGGCCTTTAAACATGTCAAAACATTTAGAAAGTATTTATTAAGGAAAAGTCTATACAAATAATCATGTACCTCTTCATTATATGCCCATGACATTGAAAAAACATTGTGTCATCTGTTTACTTCAAGGTTAGTCACATTGACAGTATCACATTTTAGACTTTATCTCTCTTGATGCATTCTCAAAATGGGTCCTCTTAATTTCACATTCATCAATCTGACAAAAAACTCCTGAAAAAGAAAGTTAGAAACATATGCCACTAATTATGTCAGTTTAAATGTCAAATAAATACTTTGAGAAACTATTTGGTCAAAATTGTAAATGTACAAATATTTTCAACCATGAACATTTCCTTTTTTAACTTTCTAACATATATAATGTATGGTCTTACTTGAAGAAAATGTTTGCCCGGAACTGAACACTACCAATTTACCATCTTTTTGGTACCACTGAAAATAGATAGTAAAGGCCTTAATCTTTTTATTCTAAAATAACAGTTAAATAACATCTTAAGAAATTATGACTAATAAGCATGTTAAACAAGAGCTGTCCGTAAGACAGCGCGCTCGACTTTTTTATTGCTTGCCAATAAAAAAAGTTTTTGCAGTAAAAGGCAATACAAGAATCTCTGTATTTTTAAAGTGAACAATGGCCATGAGCATTAAGATATTTAGTGAAGAATTATTTTACTGAATTGTGTGATACCCTTGAACACTGCAGCAAAGTTTGAAATGTTTAAGTCAAAAGAGTTAAGGGCCATAATTCAAATAAAATCTTTGACAGAATTACCTTCTCCTGGACATGTTTGGGAATCATGATTGTAAACAAGTATTCCAACTTTCAAATTAATATCTCAAACAGTTCAGTCAAAAAGTGGACTGGTACTAAAAACTTAACCAAGATTCTAAGTCGATAAAAGGCCTTAATTTTTAAAACAAATCCTTGACAGAGTTACCTTCTCTTGCGTACAGATGGGGGTAATGATGTGAAATAGCATTAAAAGTTTCAAAGCAATATCTCAAAGGGTTAAGGCAATAAGTGGATTTTACCCATTTCAATGTATTTTCTAAGTCAAAAAGGGGCATAATTCTGTCAAAAACCTTGACAGAGTTATGTCCTCTTGTCTGTTGATGAAGGTCGTGATGGTAAACAAGTATGGTCAGTTTCAAAGCAATACCTCCAATGGTTTTGAAATAAAGTGAGGTGGTACAAAAAACTTAACCAAGCTCAATACACTTTCTAAGTCAAAAAGGGCCATAATTCTGTCAAAAACCTTGACAGAGTTATGTACTCTTGTCTGTAGATGGAGGTTATGATGGTGAACAAGTATGGTAAGTTTCAAAGCCATACTTGTAATACTTCTGAAATAAAGTGGGGTGGTACGAAAAACTTAACCAAGGTGTGACGCCGACGCCGACGCCGACGCCGGGGCGAGTAGGATAGCTCCCCTTTTCATAGAAAAGTCGAGCTAAAAAGTGAGAAGAGGCAATTTTTTGAGTCATTCCAAACAGAACTTATGTAGAAATGACTGACCAATACAGTTAATTCATATGTACTATTGAGCAAATGTTATTTACACAATTTATGGAAATTGTAACTAATTATGAATTCAATATTCATCACTCCACTTAGTGTGAAATAATTTATTCAAAAGACTTGCATTCAAGTATGATATAAAATGTATAAAGGTTTATCGTCAGAATAGTAAGATTCTAGTGTACCAATTTTTTGCACTTTATTCATAGGCAAGCCGCAATAAATATGATCAAGACAGCTGCCATAATCAGTAGTTACTGAATCAATGAGTTGAACTGAACTGAGTACTTCCTGTATAATTTTAGCAACTGGTTTGTTTTCAGTATAATCATAATTGAAATCTCCCATTAAAATAAGCTTTTTTAAAATTATTCCAGTCACTTTAAACTCTTTTGAAACAATTTTCCAAAATATTGAATAGAAACCCTGAAAATTTTGCAACAGTAGCACACCTTGGAGGACAATAAACAAATCCAATAACTATGTCTTGTAAACACAGTAAAGCACATTCAATGTCAGAATGAGTAAAACAAGTAAAATGACAGACATTAATATTTTCCTTGTAATAAATTGCTATCCCATGTGAGGCCTGACCCAAATTGGAAGACAATACACGAAAACTCAAAGGTACTGTACATTTATTCTGGGAATATCAGAACAGAACAGAACAGAACAAACAGTTTATTCAAGACTTGTACAATAAGTACCTAATCATTATACATATACATAAATAAATAGTATATATGATTTGATGTCACAATGGAAAATAGCACATTATCACAAATTCATATTTTGAGAGGATGAACTGTATTTAATTATAAGTAATAGAAGTTCTATGAGAAAGTGCGAGTTTAATATAACAAGCAAGATTTTTCAAAATAATCTTATTTTTTGAATTTAACAACTCTACAAGTTTAATTACACTTGGATTGATATAATAATAACTTTTAATATATTTTTTTCTAATATTATTATAGCATGGACATATAAGTATAAAATGATATTCATCTTCAAGGTCCTGTGTATTACAATATGTACAATAACGCTCATTTCTAGCAACTCTATTCGTACCATATCTACCTGTTTGTATACGTAAGGAATGAGAAGACATTCTTATTTTACTAATAAACAACCTTAGGTTACTAGGCAGTATATCTAGGTATGGCTCATACAAAAAAGTATCCTTAAGGTTTGTATACAATGTTAAAACACCACTGTTCTCCTTATCAACATGCCAACTTTGAATAAAAGTGTCTATCAGTCTCTGTTTTAAACAAAGGTATAAATGATTTACTGTTAACAATAGTAGGATCATCCCAAACATAGTTGAAACCATATTGATATAATAAATTTTTTACCTTAGTTAACCAATTACTTTTACCGTTATTACAATCACTGAGACACAAATTATACACTTCTTTAAGAATAATGTTATCTGTTTCAAGTAGGCGAAACCAATACTTAATTATCTTAACATATCTTCCAATATACAGTGGGTAACGAGCAAGTTCACCATAAACTGCTGCATTTGAAGTTCTTATATTTACATTTAATATTCTTTTACAAAACTTTAGATGTATTCTTTCAATTTCTTTAGACTTACTGTGGCCCCAAATCTCAGCTGCATAATTTAAGATTGATCCAACAAAAGAGTCAAAAAGCTGGCATAATAACTTCGGTTTCAGTTTATATTTATTACAGTTTATCAGTAATACATTTAACGCTTTCAAAGCTTTACCAACAAGCTGTTCTTGGTTTAATGCAAAATTACCAGTATAATTGAAAACTGTACCTAAATAATTGAAATCATTTACAACCTCTAGACGTTTGTCATTATACAAAAAATTTTCAGAGGACAACAAAACCACCTCTCTTCTAAAAAACCATAACTTTAGTCTTATCTACATTAACCTCTAGACTCCACTTTGTACAGTAATTATGTAATAAAACTAAACTATTGTTTATTTCCTCAGGTGAATTGCCTAGAATGGCCATATCGTCTGCAAAAAGCAACAATATTAAAATGATATCATTTAACTGTAAACCACAATTTATATCATGCTGCAAAAATAACTCAATGTCATCAATAAAAAGAGAAAATAAAACCGGCGAAATTATCTCCCCTTGACGTAAGCCTACAGCATATTCGAAAAACTCTGAATAACTATTACACACTTTAATACATGATTTAACTTTATTGTACATATCCTTAACAATACGCAATAATTTACCCCTAATACCTGATTTATGTAATTTTAACCAAAGTGCATTTCTATAAACACTGTCAAAGGCCTTTTTTAAAAATCAACAAATACGCAATACAAACGTTTATTGTCGTTAATATATTTCTGAACAATAGATGATAACACAAATAAAGCATCAACAGTAGATTTGCCTTTTCTAAACCCAAACTGGGCATCTGACAGTAAACAATTTTCTTCACAATAGCTATAAATTCTTTTATTTATAATAGATGTAAATATTTTTGACATACAGCTAACTAAAGTTATGCCTCTATAGTTATTTACCTCATTCTTATCTCCCTTTTTATATGCAAAGGAATTATTACTCCTTCAGTCAATTATCCCGGAAAATACCCGCTATCAAGTATTTTATTAAATATATCACATAAATGTGAAGACAATATATCAATCGACTCAATAAAATATTCATTCAATAGAAAATCGTGTCCGTAAGCCTTTCTTCGTTTCAAGGAATTGACAGCATCTATAATTTCATTAACAGATATTGGTCGATCTAAAAAGTCATCAGCATCATCACTAAAATTGAAATCATGAGTTGAGGCAAAATCCTCAGATTCAACATTAACATTTTGAAATATATCATTTCCTAGTTCAGAAAAATATTTGAAAAATGACTCTAGGGAAAGATTATTAGTAACAACATTTTTTCTTTTAAAATATTTCCAAAACTCCTTTGGTTTTGACAACCTTAAATTTTCAATTTCCTTAACTTGCTTGAGGTTATAACAATTTCGTTTTCTCCTCATTATAGCCTTATACTTAGCCTTTAACAAGCATAATTGTTCCCTATTTGTTGGAGATTTAAAACGGTTAAATTTTGACAAAGCATCTATATACAACTGCCTAGACTGTTCACATTCACGGTCAAACCATGACTTGTTATTAACAATATTTGTCTGGCTAAACGAGACAGCTTTTTTAATAGTAACATTTTGACGAAATAACGGATCCGTTACATCATGAATAATAGACGTAAAATTTAACAACATATTATTTATTGACGATCTATTTTGCAAATCGATATTACTAGTCACATTATTTAAAAGAGGTAATTTTGTTTATAAGACTTGATCTAAAATGATTTTTCAAATCTGCAGACCATCTATAGTTAACAAAAGTTTCATTATCATAAATACAATTTTCAATAACAATATTACAATGTAAACTAAAAGAAATAGGACAGTGGTCACTCCATTCGTTAAAATCATGAATAATAAAATCGCTCAGGCTTGAAAAATTACCAGGTTTTGTTAATAAATAGTCAATAACAGACGACCCTAGCCTCGAGAAATACGTGCAATTACCGATCATATGATCACTGTATAAACGACCGTTAACTATTCGAATTCCCGTGCTTTTGCAAAGATCAAAGTAAAACGATTACCAAACGTGTTACATGTTTTATCTGTTAGAGGCCCGAGCTAGGGGTTCATCTGCTACATAATCCTGTAAATCTAGTTCATCATTCAACGTGTCAAATAAAACATAATCATGTTTGATGCCAACACGACTATTACAGTCTCCGACTAAATAGATATCACCATCATTATCAAATTCAAAAATATCATTTTCAATAATTTCAAAAAGAATCTACATTATACACTGTGTACGCAGGAGAATCGTCACACCATAAATAAATACCACCAATATATACATCTGATTCAAATTTAAAGAAGGTTTTATCTAGTTTTAACCATACAATTGTGTCATAGTGAGTGCGTATAATTTGAATACCGTCTTTCAAAGATTCATGATAGTAAACTGCAACCCACCACTTGATCTCCGTGCATTACGATGCTGAAACTTTCTATAAAAGTTAAAAGATACATATCCGTTTAATTCAATATTACTTTTTTGATTTGTCGATGTCTCATACAAAAACACTATATTTATATTTATTTAAGATAGAAATAAAGTCCTTATTACATTTTTTATCATCAGACAGTCCATTAATATTCCACGATAGCACACTCAGATCATCCCCGGCGTACCTCTAGTTGGCGCTGTCCTTGAAAGGTTTCCCGTCAATGAACAAAGTGTCGTAAGAGATCCAGGCTCTTGACCCCTTGTTCCGCGCCTCCTTCATCTTGGGTACGAGTTTTCTACGTTTGTCAAATACTTCCTTCGGGAACTGTTCATGGATAAAGTATGGTGTACTTTTAAGTGCACTACCAGCCCTTCTTACAAGCTCGCGCTCCTTAAATAAGTTGAATTTTGCTACAATCGGTCGATTTTTTCCCGGTCTTTTCTCGCCCATTCTATGAATACGTTCAAATTTCATTTCACTAACCAAATCACTAGTCAATTTCATCTTACTGACTAAGAAGTCACGCACTACAGATTCTGCATTTTCTGTTTCCCCTGGGAGGGCCTCCTCTATATTACCGAACACTATGTTGTTACGCATTGATTGCGATTGTACATAAGAAGTTCATCATTTAGTTGTTTATTTTTAGTTTCCAGCTCCTGTACTTTGGATGAAACAATGCTCAAATTAAAATCTGCACTTTCTACTCTTTCCTCTACAGTACTAATTCTATTGGCAGTCTGAACTTTATCGTCATGTATAAAACCATCTATGCTGTACTGCTCAGATAAAGGACCAGTTAATCTAGTTTCTACTTGCTGGCGTAGTGAGCGCCCTACACGGAAACCCTTAGTTGGTTGGTGTCACCGTGTGTGTGGGATACTGGTGTATATTCAGTTTTTTTTTTGGTTAAATGATGGTATTTTATAACACAAAAGTTCAGTGTTGATGTTATTTTATTTATTTTTTTATAGTTAATTGTAAGTTTTTAAATACAAAATAATTATATAGTTTACATATATATTTTTACAGCTAGTACCTGAATTTTGCTTAAGTTAGTTTTACTTCTTTATTTTTTAAGTTAAGACTTGATGTTATACGTTTAAAATTTTAGATAAGTCTTAAGATGTTGTATGTTTCCAAATTAAAATTAGACTATTAGATGTTTTAAGTTTTGAAATTATTATTAAATGTTTTTATAATTAATTTTCTTAAAGAATTTTGACGAGGAAATGCTATGTTACACATGACCTGTTTTTACCTTAATGGCCTGTATAATTATGTTTCACAGCTTCTCAGCAAACAACCAACTGTGCCACAATTGAAATCTAACAAACAAGCCTTTAATCACACACCTGAAATAAAAACTTTTCCTAATTAATACAATATTTCTTTTAATTTATTACATTCTTCAATGAAACATTAAGAAATATTGATAAAGTAAAATGTTCATTTTCATTTCCTGTATTTTCAATGTAAATATTCATTTTTCATTGCATATTTTCACAAGTGTCTCCTAAATTTAGCCTACACACAATAGACTGTAAAGAATAATAGGGCAATTTCTTTATAATTTCAAGTATTTATAGTCGAAACAGTCCTTTTTAAAGGCATATATATGGGTAAGTGGAATGTTGCATGTCCAGATATGATTGACTAACAATTGTAAAAGTGAGTAATAATTGTCGGAATAGCTCAATCGGTAGAGAACATAGCTCAAGGTTACCAGATTTCAAAAAAGTTTTTATTAATTTTGTTCTGACATGTCAGGAACAACTTGATATTTAAATGTGTTTTTCATTT